ACATTCAACATCTGGCAAAGCGCATCCACTGCTATTTTTGTGTGGTTCGGAAGAATCGGTCAACAACCTGGGAGAAACCGATACAGAGGCGCGGGCTACATTATCGGGTGGCACACCTGGAGGATGTTCCTCAACAGGGGGCGTCGAGACAGGTGCATTGGCCGACCCCTGAGCAGGGTCTTCACGATGCGGTAAGTCAGCACGCAGTGGCTGGCAGGGACATTCAACGCTAGTCAAGGCGCAGGCACTGCCAAGTAGCTCATGTTGCGCGCAAGAATCAGTCCACAACCTAGGGGAAACTGATACAGAACCCTTCCTTGAACATGGTGCTTCACCATCTGGGCGCGCACGTATCACACTGGGGTTAGGAACGGCGATGGTGGAAGAAGCCATCCCCGAGTGTCCACCGGGCGGCTGCGGAGCCGCGGCAAGACCCAGACCACGCGGTGATGGAAGTCCCAACATGGCCATCAGCCCGCGTAACGCTAGGGATCCCATCAATGGCACCAGGCTCAACAGGCGCCAAGCAGCCACGAATAGATGCCGTACAAGAGTTAGTGTCACCATTTGGATCGGCACTACATATAGCTGTACTAGTGGTTTGCCCGACCCTCGGGTCCGGCACATTAGTTTGAAACCTTGCTTTTATGGATCCGGGAATGCGTTTGCACAGTGCCTTTCCCGACCGGGGTAACAGTCAAAGCACAGGAACTAGTCAACACACGGACTTGTCAGGAACTACACTCGTATTAGTCGCATTGTACAGTCCTGTAGTCAGAGAACGTGTGTTTCTCCTTGCCGGTGCCGGTGGTTGTGCTTTGAGAAAGAAAATTTTAGTTTTCAGCTCCCGCCTCATTATTAATACAGCGATGAGTGCACAACCGGGACAAGTGACAAAACAGCGAACAGCTCCCGGGCCTAGAACTTTAAGATCCCGTAGCAGATCCCGGATTTCCCCTTTAAGTGCTCGATTTCCTCGTTTTCTCATGAACTATGAGCTATAATATAAGCAAGACGTCGAGGACAGCGATTCTCTTGCCTGGGCAGAACTTGACTTTGATGTGCATCAGTACTAAGTACATTATATTTGTATACTTAATACGTCATATTTGTATTGCATGCACGCACACACACGAATTAGTTGTGCGTGCTTCTGTTTCCTGTTGGTTTTCCCATTACATGTTTTGTTTCCATTCTCAAGTCTTCATCGTACCTGTAATGTATCATGCCGCAATGAATTTGTTCTTACCTGTGTCAGCGTCTTGTGTCCGCACCCTGAAGTGTCTGCACGGGCCGAGTTGTTTTTTACTTCTGAAGTAGTAGTTTGCGCGATCTAAACTCTGTCTTGAATTATTTTGTGTATTAATTTTGCTCGCACTGGAGCTCGTGGACGAGTGACTATTCCTAATGGAACAATCAGAGGACGGTACCAGATTTGAACTGTCCTCCACGAACGAGGGGCAGGGATTTGTGCCTCAAATGGATGTCCTGACGAAATACATGGAGCAGGTATTGCGTGCAGCTGGGGCTCGTGATAAGGCCATGCAAGATCTGTTCAACAATGTTCAAAGCAGGTCACCATCACCATCGCAACTTCAGTCCCCCTCGCAGACCTCAGCGCCACTCCAGTCCACCTCCCAGACATCTGCACGACAGCCAGTGAAGCACCCGTACAGGTTCCTGCAGGAGTACGAGGAGTACCGCGGAATCCAAACGGCGCCGCGACAAGGGCAAGGGCTGGATGAACAGCCGTACTGGCCGAGTATGAGTGACAGAAACGTGTTTCCCGTGTGCACCCACGCCAAAGTCAAAGAGCATGCATGCAAGCGTCCACCAAACAATCATGTACTGTAAATCAACTAATTTTCGCTGGCGATTTAATTTCGCTGATTTCGCCGCTGGGTACCAATCGGCCAAAGTAAATCGCAGGCCAAAATTTGTCATAGAGGCAAATGATGCCTGCATGTGAGGGCAACAAATACATGTACCAATCGATTTCTTTTTTGAAAACCCCAATCGGCCAAAGTTAAATGACGGCCAAAAGTTTCATTTCGAGATCGGCCAAAGTTTCTCACCGGCCAAAATTTGTTGATTTACAGTACATAACTTCTCTTTCAGATGTCCTAGTATTTACGAAACAAGTGTCAAGTTCGTGAGCCAATAGGGAGTAGTATCTTGGACAAACTAATTCGCATGATGTGGCCACCCTTAGTAGTATGGACGGGGGTTTCAGACTAACGTGACCTTTCACCTTTGACGTCATCGACGACGTCAGTGGTGACGTCATCGATCACGGCAGTGGTGACGCCATTGATGACTCATCTATTCATACAACATCGATGACATCATGATCCCGTTTTAGAACGACTCACCGATGATGTTGCGCGCCCATGGTGCTCGCACTGCAGCCACCACCCGTGGAATACACTTCCACCGGCTTGCCGCATGTCTAGTTCACCAGCTGAATTTCGCCCATCCATCAAATTATACCTAGGGTTCCCTGTAAAAAGGCGCTGACGCCTGTTGGGAATTCCCTAGTAAAAGAAGAATAAATAATAATAATAATAATAATAATAATGCAATGAATATAACTAAATGCGCACTCATATCACAACCATGGGGACGAATCATGTATTCCAGAACGTTTTCTTGTCACAATTATCAATGGAATTCGTGACTAAAGAGAATGATGAAACTACAATAGGATTTATACACTTGCAGTGGAACAGCGAGGATACAAGCATAGTAAGAAAAATAGCACAAACCTAGGAACAATTTGCACAGGTAATAAACTATAGGTGAGGTGAGAAATAATAGGAAATTCAGCAAGTGCAGTGTGACAATGGACATGCATGTGTAAGTGTGTGTGAGTGCGAATTTACTGGAATAGCGTAAGTGCGGTG